TGCTTATATCTGGTAATCTGAACAACTAATTTGAAGACAGCAATATGCAATATAACAACCACTAGTGAATTCCTACCATCTTGTCTAGTGAAACTGTATCACTTCTAATGCTTTTTTGTTTTTAGTTTTTATTCTCTTTAATGGTTTGATCAGTCTTGCATTCTTACACCTGGTAATCTCAGCAACTTCATTGAAGATAACAATATGTAATAACCACTGTTAATTCTTATCATTTTGTTCTGAAACCCTGTATCATTTTGTTTTTGCTTTGTTTTGTTTTTGTCTGTGTTGTTGGTATTCTGCTATTGTTCTTATTATTCTATTTAAAATAAATTTTACAAAATTCCCTCTAGACTCTTCTCTCCGACTGTTTGCTTCTCTTTGTCTCTATCCCTCTGGCTATCTTTCTTAGTGCTGGGAATTAACCTTAGGGTTTTCTGCATGCCAGGCAACTGGTCTACCACTGTGTTACACCTTTAACCCTAGATTTTTTTTAAATTCAAAGTTATTAATAACAAAATGTCTTAGACTAGTTTCTTTTTGTTTCATTATCTGTATTTTGGGGCAGTTTTCCTGCTGGTTGTAGAATTTCTGGTAAGAGATTTCTTTTAGCACTTTAAAAATAGTGCTCCATGGATTGACTGACTGTCAATCCTCTTCTTGCTTCTTTGGTCTAATGAGAAGCTAAGATCTTTCTCTTACTTTGGTTTTTAGACCATGATGCAGTTTATTTTGTCTCCTTTGTGGAGTTTGCTTAGAGCAGGTGAACTTAGCTGAATCTGGGGGATGAGGCCCTCTGTCTGCTTGGAACATGGAGGTACACTTCCATTTCTGCTATCCATTCTTCTCCCGAGTTCTCTCTACTCCCCCATTAACCACATCCTGCCCTAATTCTGAGTCACCCCGTCTTGGAACTTTCCAACGCTGTTCCCCCAGTACTTCAGAATATTTGTTTATCTACTGCCTTTCAATTTGATAATCCAACCTCGGGTGTGGGGCAGCCACTTCGTATTTTTTTATGTCTTTAATTTCAATTCAAAACATAAACCTATAAATAACTTTCATAGAAAAGTAGCTTTACAAGAATATTTTTGGATATGGTAATATTCAAAATATAAATAATACAATTATAATTTGGATCATATTAAGAGTTATTATTCATGCAAATTAATCAAGAAATAGGCAGGAAAACTGCCAGAGAAGAGATTTAGCTTAGGTACAACCAGTAAAGGACGCCAGGAATATTTAAAGAATTAAACAAACAAACATAATGAAAACGCCCTAGTGGCAACTTTGAACAGTCTGTACACAAAATAAACAAATGGACAATAACCAAATAAATGAACAATAATTCACAGGGAGATGTTCCAGTGTATACCTCAGTTTAGACAAAATGAAAAAGACAGTGATAACAATTGGCACAGAGCCTTACCCAATCAGGTTGTTTATATAAGAATTGTGAGGGCTTAAATTGGTACAACACACGAAAAACCATTTGATAGTAGCTGTGGAAGCTGAGCAAGTGTCTACATGTTCCCCTACACAAAAACATCCCTAACATTGTGCACATGACACAGAACCTGGAGTCAGACTAAAAAAACGTATTGAGCAACAAACTAAATAATCACCATCAGGGGGGTGGACAAAAACTACAGTGCTGGTAGCAGACAGAACTGCACATATTAAGAAGAATTTACAAACTGAACAATGCTTGGAGAAACCTCAATCCATATGCATTATAATGCATATCCTATTGTTCCATGCATGTAAAACACACACACACACACACACACACACACACACACACACACACACACCAAAAAATGGCAAAGCTGTGCCAGGTGCGTTGGTATACACCCCTTATCCCTGCTATCCAGGAATCAGAGACAGGAGGATATAAGGGGCAATTCTGAGAACATAGAGAGACACTGTCTAAGAAAGAGAGAGGGAAAAACCTAACCTGTGATACAGTTAAGGACAAGGTGTGCTTCTGAGTGCCGAGGCAGGGCATCAGCGAAGGTGAAGCTAATAATCTCCTCTTTAATTTTGGTGCTGGGCACAGGAGTGTGTGAAAGTTGGTGGAGACGTATGGCTTGGTTTTCGTACTATGTACATTACAGTCCAGTGATAACTGAGAGAAGAGACAAGTAGTACTGTAAGATCTGACATATCTCATTCAGCAATCACAACTGTTAAAGAAAAACAGGCTATCTCTGTGATGTGATAGCATATTTGTTAAAACACGTTATTCTGTGAATTCAAATGAATGAAAAACACTTTAGACTGCTACACACAGAAACTCTGCAGTTAACTGGGAGGAGCTAGAGTAAAAATAAATTTTACAGTTGGTTACATATCATTTTCTTTCTGGATTATTATACGGAACACAATTGGATGTGGGTGAAATTCTATAATGAAATGTTAGAAAATTATGTGTACTGTGGTAAAAAAAAAATCTGTATCTCAGGTGATTTAATTCTTTAAATAGCTTAGGGCATTTTTAAAAGTGTTAAATGATATTGTGTAGAAGGTCAAGGACTCCTACAATACACCCAGATAGTCACAGACTGGGCATCAATCATAAGCCTAAAAAGACCAAACTGATAGTTTTGTCACAGTAACTAAACTCTGGCTGGTTGCAGAAAGCCCTGTAGCAGGTAAATTTATTGGACTGAAAAGAAAAAACCTGGTTAAGTTTTAACCAAATTACTGATTGACCAATTTTTAGTTAATTTGTTTTCCATTTGTCTTGTTTGTTTTGTATAAGTGATGTTAGATCACCTTGCTGGTTGGAGTCCGCAGACTTGCTAAAGTTTTGAAACTGACCCAGTTCTAGAATCTATTCTTTGTTTTTTTGGTTTTTAAATTTTGTTTTGTTTTTCATTGCTTTGCTTTGCTCAAATAAACCCTACGAGATTAATTGGTTTTAAGAAATTTTCCTTTTACCAAAGCCTGTAAAACTTCACTTCTGAATATGCTTGAGACATTGCTAGGTAAATGGATGCACCTTGAGACCATGCGCTTAAGTGAAATAAATCAGACACACATGTGTAAATATCAAATTGTTTCTCTGGTGTGAGAAACCAAAAGTGTAAATAAGGATCAAAATGCATAACAGATATTGTGAAACAGGAAGAAAGTTTTCAAATGGAAAGAGAAACAAGGGAGGGGCGAGGGGTAAAGAAGAGCAGGAAAAGCAAAACAAAATGAGAAAAGGAAAAAATAGCACAGCTTTTGTAAGGAAGGAGGGGAAGAGGGGTTCAAGGGAGGGGAGGGGAATGGGAAAAAAGAGGCAAGTTATATCGTGTACAGGTACAAATTCCCCAGGGTGAATGCGGTCATTATATGTACGTCAAATGTACGAAGAAAAATCATTTTCTTTGAAAAAAACCTTCACTTCTGAAGTTGTCTTTAATTTTTTGAGTGTTATTTTAAACTTTATGCAATTTAATATTTGCTGTAAATGAAGCAATATATATGATATACAACTTCCCCTCTATGGATGCACCATCCATGGATTCAGTCAATTTCAGACAGAAAACATTCAGAGATAAATTATATCTATACTGGACATGTATAATTGTTATCTCTCTACCTTCTAAGCAACTATTCTTTTATAAATTGATAAACTGTTCCTTTATCACTTGCATTGTATTAGGCAATAAATCATCTACAGATGATTTAAATGTACAAGAGGATTTGTGTTGGTTCTATGCCAGTATTACATCATTTTATATAAGGAACTTGAGCATCCACAGATTTTTGGTATTTGTGGGTCTTGGTACAAATCCTCCATGCCTGACAAAACTATATTCCCTACGATTTTAGCTCTGCAAGCTCTTGTAAGTTTAACGTTACAAATAACACTGCTGTGTGGATCAAGGAAACATGCGGGTTAATTAAGCCATTTCTCCTCCTACACACTTTTAAAATATATACCTAGAGGCTTCTCTAGCCCTAGTCAACGCTCATCACCCCCCCAGCATGCCGATAAATTTCATATACATGTATACATCACAAAACTATGGTTATTGCTTTTTCAGCATAACGCCTTCCAACGAATGCTTTCTACTTAAAGAAATGTGAATTTTTTCTTACCTTCATGAGTCTGTGTTTTTTACTGTCCACCGCAAAGTATTAGGTGGGGTCCCTCAGGAGTTAGTCCCAAGATTTAGGGCGTGCAGAGGCGGATGGAGAAGACCGGGACTTCTTCCTGGCTCCTGGCAGCTCCCGGGGGGACAGAAGGAGCTCGCTCAGTCAGTCTCTTCATGGCGTTCTCACAGACAGGAAGGGTTGAAATGAAGTCCCTGCACCTTCCCGTGGTTTGTACCCTTTGGCAATGTGACACCCAGGTTGAGGGAACAGTGAGTAGTAATGTCACCGGAAATGGAGCTCTGCTGGGGCCCATCTAACCAGGGGCTTACGCAGTCCTCTATTCTGTTTCTCCTCTCTGATGGGAAGTCCCTACTGTGCTATCGCCACGGTACCACAGGTACTGGCTGAGCTCGGAGCCTGCCGTCCCAAACAACCCTTCCCTAGAACTGCCCCAAACCCGAGAGTATGTATGTCCCCTCGTACTTACACACAATAGGTTTAGGTGCATTCTGCAGGCAGATGCCCAGGGGAAGCTTGGGAACCTTGATTTGTCACCTGGTATCGTCTACATTTAATTGGGTGAGGAAACGGACTTCAGCTGTTCTCTGCCCAGCCTCTTTGCTTGCTCACCACCTGATGGAATCACCTGGGGAGTTTTTAAACTACCTGTAGCTGTGTCCATTTCCAGAAATTAATTCTGCTGGTTTCAGATATAGTCTGTGTCACTGACCCAGACCTTGAAGCTCTTTTTAAAGAAAATAATAAGGCCTGAGAGACAAACTTTGGGAAGAACAAAAGGCTGCACTCAGTGTCCAAAGAATGGAGAACTAGGATTCCACATTGTCAAGCCAACTTCTCAAAGAGGCTGACAAGTTAGAGGTAGAGGAAAGGAATAATAAGGGAGTGAGACTGGCTAATACATGGGCAAAATACCCTTTTCTTTTCTGGTCATAGGTGGATATCTTCCTGGCGCTTGGGGACCATGTCATTTCACTCCTTTTATGCTCTGTGTTTTCTCTCATTTTATGCGCTGGTGTTTCCAGCCATAGCAATTGGTAGGTGTCCCTTGTCTTCAAGGAGGTGCAGAGGGTAGGGAAGTCTAAATAATTTCTCAAGTAATGAACACATCTTCACGCAGAACTGAGTAGAACTTGACTTAAAAGTTAAGGCAGCAAAAAGCTAGCACACTATAAAGATGAAGATGTCAAGCCTATTCCTTTCTTTCTTTCATCCGACCTCTATACGCAAGATGAAGAGTCAGCGTCTTTAGCAGAATGGTCGTTCAAGTGCCTGAGAAGTAATCTGGGCAACCATGATCGTCCTAACTGACACATCAGAGGTGTTCCTTATGGTGAAGCTAGTAAGAGACTTATAATGTATTGCCCAGCTACATGACCTCCCAAATTAGTGGTTTTTTAATCAATGAAGAACAAGTGAAGCTAGATATTTTATTTAGATTTCTCCACATAACACCTGGGCTAGAGGAATTTTTGCATCTCCTTCCCCCAAGAATCTAAAGGACAGCACAGATGATGAATCTCTCTTCTTCCTAGAGTCTATGGTCTTGGAACTTGACTACCATTAAACAGACCTGGGGAGAATAGCAAAAGCAATCCTGGGCAACAAGGACAAGTCAGGTGGAATCATAATCCCTGACCTGAAATTATACTATAAAGCTACTGTCATAAAATCCACCTGGTACTGGCTAAAAAACAGACATGAGGAGCAATGGAACAGACTGG